TGGGGCTGACTGCTGCTCTGTCCGTGTTCCTGGCTTTTATCCCCTTTCTCCTGCTCTCCAGTCCTGCTGCTTTGGGCGGACCTGAGTTTCCTCTCCTCACCTAATCCCTTTGGCTGATTGCTCTTCTCTCTGGCTTCCTGGCTTTTAATTCCCTTTCTCCTGCTCTTCTGGCCTGCTACTTTGGGCATCCCTGAGTTGTCTCTCCTCACCCGTAACCCTGGGGCTGACTGCTCTTCTGTCCGGGTTCCTGGCTTTTATCCCCTTTCTCTTGCTCTTCCGGCCTGCTACTCTGGGTGGGCCTGAGTTTGTCTCCTCACCTAATCCCTTCGGCTGATTGCTCTTCTCTCTGGCTACCTGGCTTTTAATCCCCTTTCTCCTGCTCTTCCCTTCTGCTACTTTGGTCGTCCCTGAGTTGTCTCTCCTCACCTGTAACCCTGGGGCTGACTGCTCTTCTGTCCGGGTTCCTGGCTTTTATCCTCTTTGTCCTGCTCTTCTGGCCTGCTACTCTGGGTTGGCCTGAGTTTCCTCTCCTCACCTAATCCTGTCTATTATAAGTAGCTGCATATGTGGTGTGTTTTGAGGCACAGTGTTTCTCCAAAACCCTCCAGAACCATGAAAAAATTTTTGGAAATTACAGTGTATTTTATTTTGCAGAAATTGCTGAGAAGTCATGCAGTGACTTCTTTCTACTTCTTCTAATTCTTTTTTTTCCATCTCCCTTGTGTATTTTTTTTATCTCATAGGTCTATCTGTTATTTGGCTGAAAGTTAAGCCAGGGGCATGAGTTCAATTCTAGGCCCCCAGGGTGACTAGGGGCCATAGTCTTGGGGGTTCCATCTGTCTATATCTGACCAGTAAATCTAGTCTTTTTTATGTTGTTTCAATTTTGTTCCATTTTTGCTCCCACTCTGTCCAGGATCTCCAATTTTGATCCCTTTGCGAGTAGTTGTCACTATCCAGTTTTTCTGGTCTCAAGGTCATATAGGCTGGGTTTCTCATGGTCTATTAGTCCTTTGGACTATTTCCATGCATCTTTGATTTTCCTTACTCTTCTTTGCTCCAGACGAGGACAGACCAATAATTGCATCTTAGATGGCCACTCGCAAGCTTTAAAGACCCCAGTTGCTACTCACCGAAGTAAGATGTATAACAATATTTTTGTGTACCATGTTATGCCAGTTGAGCTTGATGTTCCCTGTGACCCATGACCATGATCCCCAGCCCACGGGCCCAGCAACTCACTCCCTCAAGGTGTGGTTAAGAAGTTATCCTAACTTTGCTCCCGTTATCTGTAAGCTGTACATGGACATTTTTATAGCACATACAGATAGGTATGTAGGAATATCATCTGTCAAACCTTTGTATGAAAACCAAAAATCAAACTCACTGCCTTGAGTTGATCCTGACTCATAGTGACCCCTCTTTGGGTTTCCGAGGTGGTTTCTCTACGGGAGTAGGTTGCCCAGTCTTCTTGTGAGGAGTGGCTGGTGGGTTTGAACTGCCAGCCTTTTGGTTAGCAATCACATGTATGGTCATGGTTATATTCCCATTTGCCTGTTCATGCCTGATCTTCTTGCCTGTCTACCTATGTGCCCACCCATAGATCAGTGTTTGCTGTTACTGATGATAGGAGCTCTGGGGGTGCAGTGCCTGAGACATTTGACTGCTAACCAGAAGGTTGGCAGTTCAAACCCATTAGTGCTCTGTGGATAGATGTTGGCGTGATCTACTTCTGGAAAGATTTACCACCTGGGAAACTCAATGGGGGTCACTATGAGTTGGAATTGACTCAATGGCAGTGAGTTTGGTTGTTTTTTTGTGTTGTCATAGTGACCCCTCCTTGGGTTTCCGAGGCAGTATCACTATGGAAGTAGATTGCCCAACCTTCCTTCCAAGGAGTGGCTGGAGGGTTTGAACCCCCAGCCCTCTGGTTAGCAGTCAAGTGCCTTAGGCACTATGCTACCAAGCTCCTATGTATGCATTTACCTTTATTGTCTGTACCTTTCCATGTCTTCCTTTTCCTCAGTGACATGGTGCTAGTCACATATTGCTTTTCCCTTCACCTATATCAACACCTGTAGCTATTTTTTTAACCCTGTGTTAATCTTACTTAACCATAAAATAAACCCCAAAACTTGTTGCTATCAAGTCAATTCCAGCTCATACACATCCCAGGTGTTACATAGTAGAGCTGCTCCGTAGGGTTTTCTTGGCTGTAATTTTTATGGTTGTAGATCACCAGGCCTTACTCCTGTGGTACCACAGGGTGGATTTGGACCACCATCCTTTACGTTAGTAGTTGAGCACAAACTGTTTGTACCAACCAGAGACCATTGTTTAACAATGCCCACTGCTATCACGTTGATTCCAACTCATAGTAACCCATAGGGTTTTCAAGGTTATAAGTCTATGGAAGTAGATTGCCTCATCTTCCTCCCGTGGAGCAGCTCATTAGGTTGAACTGCCGACTTTCTGGTTAGTAGCTAAATGCCTTAACCACTGTGCCACCAGAGCTCCTTTATTTAACCATAATGCTTCCTTTTTTCACATAGAATTCTTAATATCAAACAAAATGCTAACTCTCTGTAGAAAGTTTCTGTGGAGCACATGGGTGGGTTTAGAAACAGATACTAAGTTATTTTAATGTACCTAGTTATTTTAGACCTTTAAATTGGTGTATGTTTATCTTCAGATTCCTGTTCAGGTATTATTGTGTACATTTTAAAAAGTGAGATGTTTCTTTTCTGTGAGAGAAATTAATACTTGCCAGTGGTGGAGTTCAGGTGATTTTTAGTATTGTGCATGACTGAAAGAATACCTCACTTTAGGGTTGATGTATTTTTGAAGGAGAAATTAATAGATGAGTAAGTTTGTTTATTTATCTTCGTATTTTTTAGGTCTTCTCATGGTTTTGGCTGGAGCCTCTGAGTTTGATCCTCAGTATAATAAAGATGCCACAAGCAGGCCAACGGATAATATTCTAATACCACAGGTTAGGCCATTCTCCCAAATTCCCTGGTGAGCATTTAACTACTAAAGCTAATACACTTTTAAGTATATATTTTTGAGTAATTATTTCATTTGCTCCAGCTAATCAGAGAAATTGGCAGTATTAATTTAAAGAAGAATGAGCCTCCACTTACCTGCCCATACAGCTTGAAGGCCAGAGTTCTTTTACTATCTCATCTTGCTAGAATGAAAATTCCTGAGACACTTGAAGAAGGTATTTGTGATTCTAATGTCTACAGGGTTTTAATGGGACCAAAGCAATGATTAGAGCTCATGGTACAGTGTTTTTGTTGCTGTTCTTTATTGCTTAATCAAATATTTGTTCAGGGACCTTTTTAAAAGAAATCTATATGCTACATAATTACTTCACAAACAGTTTGAAGGTCTAAGTAAGTCTAATGTTTTGGCAAATGTTAAAATTTAGTATTTCAGGGTGAGAGCATTTAATGCACATTGTGGGAAATGTTAATTGTAGATGATACAAAAGTTCCTAATGACTTTCTGACCACTTTGAAAGGTTTTTGGAGGGGGGCAGAAATAATTTCACAACCTTTACCTCAATCCTCTCCCATCATCATCCCCTTGCAAAAGTGATTTAACAACAAAGTGCCTACTGAATCTTTTTAAAGCTTCATAAGTATTTGAAGCCAACCATTTTGCTTAAAAGAAAAGCAGTGAATTAAGACAGCAGTATTTCCAGGGATGCTATCAATTTGAGTGTTCTCTCTTCTTTACTTGCATTATTTTAATTGAAGTTTTAGAAGAATATTATGCTTAGGGAAAAGATGTTATTTGTGAATGAAATCTCCCACCCTCCCTGCCCTCTTGTAAGCCAATAACAATCACTTGCTTCTGAAAGCAAGGCAACTTGATGCTGAGTAATTTGTGATAGTATAGGATGCTTATGTTGGAGTGAAGGAGCTCTATTGAGGCATTGTCATTGGAGTGCTTTGAAATATAAAGTTAACTATTTTTTTCCTAATGTTTTGTACAGATATGCAGCCACCTCTCCATTTTTTTAAAAAAAACCCAATAATCTCTAGTAGAAACAGGGAATAATTCTTTTTTAAGTTGCATAACAAATCCATTGTATGGTAAACATTGTTACAGTAGATAACTATTCTGTGCATTGTAAATAAATAAAAAAAAAATCTCTTTTTCCCTCTCTCTGCATTTAATTGATACTTATTTTCAATATTAGTCTTTGGACCTTCATTATAATTATAAAAACATAAGTGCCCAAGAAGAAAAATTAAACAAAAAAAAAAAAATTTATTTTTGTTGTTTTTGAGAAATAAACACAGCAGAACATAACACCAATTCTATAATTTCTACATGTACGATTCAGTAACATTGACTGTATTCTTCAAGTTGTGCAACCGTTCTCACTCTCCTTTTCTCAGTTGTTCCTATCCCATTAACATAAACTTAACTAAGTTTTCTATGTAATCTTATAAGTTGCTGTTGTCAATTTGATCCCATATAGATAGTTGTTAAAAGAGCACACTGGCTCAAGGCAGACATTTCTTTACTAAACTCAAAAACTCACTGCTGTCGGATCCAACTCACAGTGACCCCTCCTTGGGTTTCCAAGGCGGTTTCGCTACAAAAGTAGATTGCCCAGTGGGTTTAAACCACCAGCCTTCTGGTTAGCAGTCATGCCTTAGGTACTATGCCACCAGAGCTCCCATTTTTTTCTTTTACTAGTTAAGCTAAATTATTGTATGGTTTTAGGGTGACTTCAGGGGTATTTTTACTTTAACGTTTAAAGATTATCTCAGTTCTGTGATTCACCCAGACTCCATGGCTCTAGAAATTCTGGATTCTGTGGGAATTTGAAATTCTGTTTTGTATTTCCAAGAAGAAAATTCTTAAGGTTCTCAAATATAGTAAGATTAAGATTTCAAAAAAAAAGGATAGAAGAAAAAATACTAAAAATTTGCCTTTGAACCTAAATCTAGTCTAGGGTTTTCTCACTGCTTTTTGAGTTAATGATTCTTAGGAGAAACTGTTCTGTTCAATCTGTAAATTCTGTTATCTTGGATTAAAATGATAAAGATACTCTTGACTATAAAAGCAGAATGATTTGTTTCAGGTTTTTGATTGTTTTTCAGATCAGCAGTTTATGCTGAAAAAGTGTCCTGCCCTACTTCAAGAAATGGTGAATGTAATCTGCCAACTAATAATAATGGCTCGGAGCCGTGAAGGTGAGGAGGAAATGCAGTTAATGATATTGTACTTTCCTGCAAGAACATACAGATTGTATTTTTTTTTTTTTTTAATTGTGATTTGGGTGAAGATTTACAGAGCAAATTCACTTTCCATACAGCAGTTCACATACACGTTGTCTCATGACATTTACCACAGTTTACCACAATGCAACAGCTCCCCTCCTACTTCCTCCTGATAGTTATCTCTTCCCAGTGTCCATCCTGCCATGGGCTCCTGCCCCCTGAGCTGTCTCCCTGTAAGAACATACAGATTGTATTTCAGAGTTCTACAGTTATGGGTATTTACTGTAATTCCACCTATCGACTATCAGCTCCTAGTTATCACTTACGGTTTTACTGATTTCTTTCCTATATTTTTCATCTTATAAAGTCCTTACCACTGCTCACTTTGTTTTTGAATTTTGTTTTTTTTGTTTTTTGCTTAGCAGAGATTTTAAATACCTTTTTCATTCTCTGAACATTTTTGGAGTTCAGTTATTCTGTATTACAACAGTAAATTTGAAATGATTCTTTAACTGATATAATGATAATTCATCTTACATGTAGTGTTTTGTTTGTGAAAGGAAAGACATGAAGGGACTTGTGGTCAGTAATGAAAAAGGGAGACTCTTAAAAAGGAGACAGTGGTTTTGGCTTGTTGTTGTAGGTAATGTTGGTTCTGGGCATGTTGTCAGTATATTTTCTATACTGATAATGCCTGTTGATTTACTGTTATTATAGGTGATACAAATATTTTTTCTATTAAATCTGTGGTGGTTGTGGGATAATGATATGATATGATAATGATAATGATCCTTCTTGTTGTTGTTGTTATGTGCCGTCGAATCAGACCCGACTCATAGCGACCCCTCCTTGGGTTTCCGAGGCAGTATCACTACGGAAATAGGTTGCCCAACCTTCCTTCCAAGGAGTGGTTGGTGGTTTGAACCGCCAGCTTTCTGGTTAGCGGTCAAGTGCCCTACGCACTATGCTACCAGAGCTCCTTAAGGTATAGTAAAAATATGTATTTGTCCAAGTTTGTATATTTTATTTAGTAACTTTTAAAGGAAAATCAATACTGTGATTTTAAAAATTGGAGGTGTTAAGGTTAGCATGAATCTTGTTTTTGTGATGAATTGTATATTGAACATGTAAAAAGTCCAGCCCTGTTTTTTCTTTTTCTTCGTATTCTTTCTAAGAAAGGGAGTTTCGTGCTCCAACTTTGGCATCCCTAGAAAACTGCATGAAGCTTTCTCAGATGGCTGTTCAAGGCCTTCAGCAGTTTAAGTCTCCTCTTCTGCAGCTCCCGCACATTGAAGAGGACAATCTCAGACGAGTTTCTAATCATAAAAAGGTATCTGTTTGTTACTTTAATTTTTAGCAGTTTATCACATTATTTAAACATAACAGGAATGAAGAGTTTTAAAAAAATTATTACTTTGAGTTTCTTAGATTTAAAATGTTAAACTCTCTTAAGACTTTGTCAGGTGGTTTCCATTAACATTTTGTTGATTATGTTTCTTTTTCTTAATACTTCACTACTTATTTTACTATTTTGTGAGTCAATGCATTTAAGCAGTTAATGCTTTATTCCTTATGTGATGTTACCAAAAGTAAATGTACTAAGTAAAAATGGCACTGTGTACTTTCTGGTCATTTCATTCTTGGCTTAAGGAGAGGGTAAAGATTTATTGGTTGAGTATGAACAAATAAAATGGAGCATTCAATAAATAAGTGTATTAGGTAAAGGTAATTCTGACTTACAAAATGCAGTCAATAGTAAAGATATGATAATGATCCTTAAGGTATAGTAAAAATATGTATAATGAAAAATGTGAGAATGTATAAGAAGAAATAGAATGAAAATGTAATTCTGTTAGGAGAGCTTAAACATATCCGGTAGACCAGATGGACAGAAGATAGACAGTGACTGGGTTTGATATTATAATAAGATAGAATTAAAAGTGTATATTAGAAATTTTTACTATATTCTCTGTCCTTTCAAGTAATCATAGCACCCTTGTAAATCTTATCCTATGTTAGACTATAATAAATACCTGAGAATCTAAAAGTAGGGATTTCTCATTTTCTCATCCTGGTGAAAGTTAAAAATAAAATAACTGGCACCAAACACTTGGAAATGGAAGAACATTCTTCTAAGTAACCAGTTAGCCAACTTAGACATTACTACAATAACAGACAGCTATATATAGAAAACAACAAAAATGAGAATATTGTATAGTAAAAGCTTGAGAATGCAACTGTTCTTTATGTATGTATGTATGTTGCATACATAAAGGTTATTAAAATTGAAAGTAAAGGTAAACAACTGAGCATTCAACTCTAGTTTTTTTATAAAGCAAAAATGTACTAAGTAAATATCGAAGGTAGACTTTTTAGAGGATAATGAGCAGAAATAATTTTAATTAGGATACAAATAGAGGGATTAAGTTAAAATATTAAAAACAAAGTAGATAAACATTTGGCATATGTAATGAAAAAAGTAATAAGAAAGTTACAACAGAAGTAGATTTAAATGTAACATTATATACAGTTGTTGTAATTTTGGAAAACTCAATGACATAGATCAGGAAAAGTAAAAGCAACATTAAAATTGACAATATGAAGAAATAGAAAACTGGCAAAATTTCTAACTGAAGAAGATAATTAAAAAATTTTTCAAGAGTCACATTCTGCATATGTCCCTTTTATGAGACATAAATCATTCTAGAACACAGAAAAATGCCTCACTTCTTTACTTTCTGAAGAAAAATAACTGTGTATCAAACCTTAGCAACACCATGGGGAAAACGAAAATCTCTAGGCCAAAACTTTTTATATAGATGCCGAAATCCTACATAAATGTTAAGAATTGGAGTAAGGTTTAAAAGAAAATTTTACTCTGGGCCTTATGTTAGAAATGCAAAGATGGTTCAATTTTTAAAGAAAACTATTAATGAAGAGTGTTATAAGTTAAATTAGCGAAACTGTATGACTGTGTTATTAATGTCAAATAGGCACTTGATTAAAATTTAACCACTATTCCAAATAAAAACCCTTACAAAAATAAGTTCAAGCAAAAAATAAAACCAAGAAAAACAAAAAGTCAGGAATGATGGGACACTCTCTACCTTACTTAGCCTGTATCGAATGAGTTGTACTTAAGTGTTGAAATGAGTGTCAGCCTGAACAACAAAGGAGAAGAATGTGCCTTCTTGACACATAGGAGCAACCTTTACTAATACTTGGGATAGAGGAAAATGTAGCATATTTGAGGAACTGCAGATAGCTCCATGTAGCTGCAGCAGAAGGTCTAAGAAGAGGTGGGCTTGGGGCAACTTTGCTGGGCCCAGGCAGTGAAGAGTCTTGTATACCATCTGTGAAACATTTTCTTGGATTTTGTTTTGAAAGTAGAGGATAAGAGTATGCAGATCCTAGGTCTGAATATTTAAAAATAAGTCTGTATTATGTTGGAATTAAAAAAAAAAAGTCTTTATATGTCCTTGGAGAAGACCATGAAATGATGTATAGTTGTATTTTCTGCTTTTAAATACATGTAATCATAACATTTTTCTAAAAGTTGCTTAATTTTGTTTTAGTCAACATGCTAATAGTTTTCTTAAAAAATTTTGATTATGATTTGGGTGAAAGTTTACAGAGCAAATTCAATTTCCATATAGCAATTCATACACATTTTGTTTCATGACATTGACTATAATCCCCACTATGTAGCAGCTCTCTTCCCATTTCCTCCCTGTAGTTACCTCTTCCCTGTGTCATTCTTTCCTTTGTATTCCTGCCCTCTGAACTATCTCCTTGTGCAAATACTGCCCTTCTGTTCTCCCATGATTGATCATTTTAAGGGGTATATTTGCCTGGTGTAAATGTTCACCCAATATGACTGTCTGTTGTTTGGCTGGAACCATGTGAGTGAGTTCAGTTCCAGGCCTCAAGGATAACTAGGTGCCATAGTCTCAGGTCTCACCAGGCTCTATCAGACCAGCAAGCCTGGCCCTTTTTGAGTTTTGTTCCACATTGTTCTCCCACTCTATCCAGGCTCTCCTGGACGGATCCCATTCTGAGTGGTTGACAGTGGTAGCCAGGTACCATCTCATTCTTCTGATCTCATGGTCATATAGGCTGAGGTTCACGTAGTCTATTAGTCCCTTGGACTAATTGTTTCCATGTGTCTTTCATTTTCTTCATTCTTCTTTGTTCTGGACAAGGAGAGACCAATTGTCACATCTAGAGGGCCACTTACAAGCTTTTAAGACCCTGGTCACTATTCACCAAGGTAGGATGTAGAACAGTGTTTTTGTATAGTATGTTATACCAGTTGAACTTGATGTCCCCCATGACTGTGGTCCCAGGCCCACCGGTCCAACTCACTTCATCAGGGTGGTATACTGTGGCTAAGAAGTTACTGTAACTCTGGCCGCTAATTATTGTTGTTGTTGTTATTATGTGCCATTGAGTTGGACCCCCAACTCACAGCGACCCCTCCTTGGATTTCTGAGGCGGTATCACTACGGAAGTAGATTGCCCAACCTTCTTTCTGAGGAGTAGCTGGTGGATTTGAACCACCAGCCTTCTGGTTAGCAGTCAAGTGCCTTAGGCACTATGCTACTAGAGCTCCCTGGACTCTAATTAGTTTTATTTATATGGATATTCTTATACGACTACAAATAGATATATAGAAATGTCATGTGCCAACCTTAGATATGGTCACTGGTATATTCCCTTTTTCCTAGACACATCTGATCATTCAGCCTGGCTACCCGTGTATTTACCTGCAGATAAATGTTTCTTATCACTGATAACGCAGTATGGTATACGTGAAAGTGTTTATCTGTATTGTCCGTACCTCTTAACATGCTGATGATTTTCCAGTTATGAATTAGAAGTTTATTTTTCTTCTTTTTTTTTCTAACATATTTTTTTTCAGTTTTTTTTTTTTTTTTTTTTTTAATTTAGTACAAAATTAAAACTATCCAGGATTTGGTGAGTTTAAAAGAATCAGATCGCCGCAATCTACTACACTTCCTTGAAGATGAAAAATATGAAGAAGTTATGGCTGTACTTGGGAGTTTTCCACATGTGACTATGGACATAAAATCACAGGGTATGTAGGAGATATCTCTGTTGAATATTGTTTCCCTTTTGGTAAATTCTTACTTATTTGGCTCAAGATTCTCATAAAATTTGACAGTACAACTTGTAATTACATTTTACAGAACTATAGATTTTCATTTATCAGATTTACTGTGATAGGTGATGAATGTATACTTAACAGTTTTGAGAACACTAATATAGTTCTGCTTTTCTTTTTCTTGAATTTGTTCTGTAGTTCAACTTTCAAAAATTTCTTAACTTTTCAAAGAATGAAAGCAATTTCCAGATGTAATGGAAAAATGAGATACTTGAAATATGTCTGTTATACATGTGAAAGAAATACTTTGGGGTTTAGGAATACTAAATACTAATTTCCAAATAATGGTATTTAGATGTACTGCTTAGTTCTAAAATAATTCTAAAAGTCCCAACCTATTTTATGCCATTTAAGCTTTGAAAATTACCATTCCTTGCCATACATTTCATGTGTTTTTCCTCATGTTTGTCTTTATATCTGCTTTGAGAGATAAAAAAGGAATAGAGAAAAGAAACAAAAAATAGAGATTATTTTTTTACCTACATAATTGTTCTGTGAATTCTCACCTTAATAGCTGAGAAATAGTGTTTTAGAATGGTGACAGAATTAGTGATCCTCTCCATTCTCTCATTGTGGCATTTGTCCTGAGGTGCTAATGCACTCACTTGATTTTTGCTATGAGAACATTCTTGTGGGACCAGGAATACAGAAACACCTTAGAAATGGTTTCTATCTTTAAAAGGGTTATTATAGTTCAGTTGAAAAAATAGGATATGAATATTGGATTGTAAACTATGTGGGAACATATGCTAAGCTTTAAGTGATGAATAACCTAGACATTGTGCCATTTATTCATCCAACAAATACTAATTTTATGGCATGCACTGTTCTGGGTGTTGGAGAAGCAGTAGTGAGTAGGACAAAGCCTCTGTCTTATTGAGTTGGCATTCTAATGGAAACTGAAAAGAGGTAAATGATTCCCAGAGACTGGGGTGTTTGGGAAAGGAAGGTAAACAGTAGATCCTGATTTCAACTGGACTAGAATTGGAGTGTAGTATATGCAGGGAAAACATGGACTTCTTTGCTGGGGAGTTGAGGTTTCCTGGTGGGTCCATGGATTTTTAAGCTTTAAAAACACCAATCTAAAAGTTGAATTTTGGACCATACTGTTATAATTAGAAACTCCTCACTCAAATAAAACTCTAGTTTCAAATAAAAAATTTTTATAAAAATAAAAATCTTTAAATGAGTGGATATCTAAATTAAATATGCAAAAGAGCCCATGGCAGTGTGATTTCCCACCTTGCCCTTCCGTCAGAACAGTGCTTACTCTACTCTTGATGAATGGCTTCTTCTAGGTGTTAAGGGTTGGGGAATGAGAGAATGAAGGCACTGTCCTGTCTCACAGCAGCTTTCTCTTTGGGAAAAATGAATAAAGTGGCCACACCCTTTTTGTTGGTAGTTGTTTGTTGTTGAAGTGTCAGATAACCAATTGAGCTCATAAGGTACTACTGTAATATAAAGGAGATGCTGACAACCCCCCCCCCCAATCTAGCTTCAGACTTGGAAGTACTCTTTGATATAATCAAGGATTGTAAAAAGTATATATTCCCTAGAAAAATGTGTGTCAAGAGACATTTTCTTACAAGAAGTAGTGGTAAGAGTATTCTTTTTCACTAGGAAATGTTTGTCATCCAGTTTCATTCCATAGCATCTGATACAGAGTAGTCTATTATAGTTACAGTGCTGTCTGTGTAACATCAGTAGTACAGTTAATGAATGATACTGTGGTGGAGATGGTGATGTTTGCCCTCATTGCTAGAGGCTGTAGAGAATCACCTGTAGGCCTTTTCTTCACTTTCAAGTGTCAAACAGCAGGTAAACAGTGATATAGCTGTTACTTTGCACGCAGTGCCCACCCATATACAACACTGAAGTGTTGAATACATAACAAGATTTGATTTGAGGTAATGGGGATTTCCAGGGTGAAGAAGGGATACCATACCCTGTGTTGATGACCAAGCCATCTCATAGCTAGTAATGGAGATGGTATTTAGATGTACTGCTTAGTTCTAAAATAATTTTAGACAGTTACAGGTTTTTGGAGGGTATTGTCTTCCAAGTAGTGATATGTTAGTAAAGTCCAAGACAGAGTTCACTAATCTAAATCTGGGTAAAGGAAACAGCATAAACTTTGAAAAGCCTGCAGGTATATTTATATAAAGTGAAGTGGCTAAAATCTGTAGGAAAAAAAAAAAGAAATAATACCTACATTTATTTAGGCAGTATGTTTGAAAATTTATTACTTTACTAGAAGACTTATTTTGGGGTTGTGTGTGTGGCAAATGTGGTTTTAGAAGATGAAATAATTGCAAAAACATTGTATTTGATACCATTTATTGCAAATTTTTTAAAGTGTTTTTTAATGTAAAGAGAATATATTGAAATTTTTACCATTTGAAAAATAAATCTCTTTAGTGTGTATTAGAACATTAGTTTTCACTATTTTATTCTGACAGTCAGGCATTGATCACAAAGGTAAAACCTTGTGTATACAAGCTTTGCACAAGACAGTAGAGTGGCTGAACCCTAGTTTGTATCACTTTGAGAGAGAGCTGGGGTACTTACATTATACTTTCTTTGAAAAGACCTGAATTTGAAAGCAGTGTCGATATAGTGATTATGTGTGACCATGGATTTTTTACTTTATTTCTGAACCTTTGTTTCTTCTTTAAAGTGGAAATAATAATACTTTATAGAGCTGTTTTAGGAATTAAGTGGATCACTTGTTAAAGGCATGCACTGAGCCTTATGAAGAGCAGATGGTCGATAAATTGTTTTTTTATTGAGTAGGTTTATAATATAGTATGTTTGAGATAGTGAAATACCAGATTGATTTGGGTAAATTAAATTTTGCTATTTGCTTTGACTTAGGATTTGATTTTTATTTTCTACTCTCTTTTTTCCTTTCATCTTATAGTATTGGATGATGAAGATAGCAACAACATCACAGTAGGATCCCTAGTTACAGTTTTGGTTAAATTGACAAGACAAACAATGGCAGTAAGTAGTCCATTTATATGTTTATGCTATTAAGAGTTATGTGTCAATGTTTGTATATTTATTTTCTCATTTTAAGTAGTACTTTCTCAAAGTTAAAACTTGTAGGAGTGTAATGTCTAATTTTGCCTATTTTGTTAGCCATTTTGTAATTTTAAATTAATTTTCATGAAACATAGTTTCCATACACATATACAACCTGGAGAATAGATTAATCCTTTGTAATAATTTGCTAACATAAAAGATTATAGTAGTTAGAAGATAGTGTAGACTTTGCTCTTAAACTGTACAGTGCTATATAAACCAAAAAAAACCAACCTCACTACCATTGAGTCAATTCTGACCCATAGCAACCCCCCATTGGGTTTCTGAGGCAGTAAATCTTTATGGAAGTAGATTGGTCGGTCTTCCTTCTAGGCAGTAGCTGGTGATTTTGAACTGCCAGCCTTCTGGTTAGCAGTCATATGCCTTAGGCCCTGTGCCACCAGAGATTATTATTATTATTATTGAAAATTTCACCTTCTAGTTAATTCTTTAAAGAATATATCCCTATTTTTATTTTAAAAATTTAAAAATTACAATGAAAAATAGCTTTTTTTATATATGAAAAATTCATTTTATATATGAAAAATTCTAGAAAAAATTCAAGCAATGCAGAAAAGTTTAGGAAGAAATTAAAATTGCCTTATTAAATCCTACCAATTTGAGATAATCAGTGTTTTAAACCTCATCCTTTTATATATCTTAATGCATGTATACCTGTAGAGTTACATGGTGTTTTTATCATGGACCCCTGCTCTCACCAGTCTTCCTCACTCAATACCTCATCAGCCCCAAATGACCAGAATTCATGGTCTTCTGTGTGCCCTTTCATACCTTTCTCATTCTTCTGTTTAGTGTCTATATGCATATTCATGTATATTGGTACTTTTCTCATTCTTTTTTTTTTCTTCAAGTTTAGTAATATATACATTTTCTGCATCTTTATATTTTGACATACTTATATCACTCCCAAGTCAACTGGAATGGTTCTAACTTGTTAACAGACTGTATAGTGTTTTAACTCTGAAATGCTATTCAACTAGTGGTTGATTTTTAGCCTGTTCTGCTCTGGAGTCTGAACACCTGCAGGAAATACATGTTGCATTTAAACAGTGTGACTAAAGTCTCTGGTAGGGAATGTACATTTTTTTTTCCTCTTCTCAGTTGTCGCCAGTTAAAAAAAGTTACTGGTAATACATTTTGAAAGACTGCTTTGTCTATCTGGATGATGTGTATTGGTTGACAGACTTTATCTTTTTCTTCTCACTACCCTTAGGAAGTTTTTGAAAAGGAGCAGTCTATCTGTGTAGCAGAGGAACAGCCAGTGGAAGATGGGGTAAAACTCATTTTCTTACCTGTGTTTCCTGGTGAAAGAAATGTTTTATTTGGTTCTCTCATGGACTTTGGTGCTGAAGGACAGTAATTAAGTTTATGAAAATACTTAGTTTAGTCATTTCCATCTGAACACTATTCATGACATCCAAATGAACCTGTTGCTATAATTTGTAAGTGTGTATGGTGGTTTTGATTTATATCAGGGTGATGCCAACAAGAACAGAACAAAAGGAGGATGGCAGCAGAAGAGTAAAGGACCCAAGAAAACTGCTAAATCAAAAAAAAAGAAGCCTTTGAAAAAAAAACCTACATCTGTGCCGTTACCACCATCAAAGCAACAGAAACAAAAGCAGGCAAATGGAGTCATTGGAAATGTAAGTTTATTTTAACCATTATTTTTATTGAGGTATAATATGCATATATTAAAATGCTCAAGTATTAATGTGTATAGCTCCTGAAGTTTTATATATGTGGGTACCCAGGATACCCAGATTAATATATAAAACATTACCAGTACCCTAGCGAGCTCCCTTATGCCCCTTCCCAGTCAGTAACCCCTCCGTGTATCTCCCTCACCCTGAACCACTATTCTGACTAATCACCATAGATTAGTTTTGCCTGTTAAACTTTATATGGATGAAATCATGTTATGTCTTAACCTGCTTTTGCTAAACATTATGTCCATCACATTCACCTGCATTTTGTGTAGCAGTAGCCCATTCTTTTTTGTGTGTAGTATGTGTAGTATTCTGTTTTATGAATATACCACAATTGTTTTGTGATTTGTGGACATTTGGGTATCTAGTTTTTGTCTATTATGAATAAAGGGGCTGTGATGATTATTGTATATGTTATTTTGTGGACATATACATTTATTTTCTTGAGATATGTCTAGCAATGAAATTGATAGGTCATAAAATAGGTATATGGTTAACTTTGTTCAAAGAGCCAGTTTTCCAAAGTTACATCATTTTACTCTCCTATCCAGAAGGCTGTTGGTTCAAATCCACCAGCCACTCCTCGGAAGGAAGGTTGGGCAATCTATTTCCGTAGTGATACCGCTTTGGAAACCCAAGCAGGAGTCGCTGTTAATCAGGGCCTACTCGACGGCACATAACAGCATCAGCAAAGTATGAATCCAGTTGCTTCATATTCTCACCAACCCTTGGTTTTACCAGCCTTTTTTATTTAGCTGTTGTGATGAATATGTAGTGGTATCTATTTGTAATTTTTATTTCCCTGATGACAAAGATGTTTAGCATCTTTTCATATGCTAATTGGCTGTTTGGATATCCTCCTTTTCGGTATTGTTTGTCTTCTTACTGACCTGTCGGAGTCTTTTATATATTCTGGATAAGTGTCTATTTTTTTCTTTTTTACTATCTAATGATAGCTTTTGATGGTTCTTAATTTTAATGAAATCTATTTCATCAATCGTTTCTTCTATTGATTATGTATGTTTGTGTCTATGTAAGGCACCTCTGCCTACCTGCTTGAATAATTTCTTTCATGAGGATGAGCACAAGGCTGGTCCCTATGAGGCAGAGGTTAAAGATGTTCCAAATGTCCAGCTTTTCCAAATTGCTGTACCACTCCATCATCTCTTGACATCACCTCTTCCTTTTCCTCTCAATATTCTCCCTCCTGTCTTAAACAGACAAACAAACAAACAAAAAGAAAACTCAATGCCATTGAGTCAATTTGACTTACAGTGACCCCTCCTTGGGTTTCTGAGGTAGCATCTCTATGGAAGTAGATTGCCCAGTCTTCCTTCTGAGGAGTAGCTTGTGGATTTGAACCACCAGCCTTCTGGTTAGCAATCAAATGCCCTAGGTACTATGCCACCAGAGCGCCCTCCTTCCTCTCTTAGGATTCCATATTTTGTTGTAACATCTCAGACTGCCAAGGAAATGACTCATGCGATGGTAGAAGCTAGCAAGTTCCAAATCCATGGGTCGGGCATCAACCTGGAGGATTCTCCTTACTCTCATGGTTGCAGGGGCTGACCAACCCAAATCGGCAGGTCAGACAACTGGCTGCTCTTCAAGTCCGAAGAAATGGATGAGAGGTTGACAAACCGGATGTAGGATTCAGAGCAAGAGAGCAAACTTTGCCAGAACATATATTCCCTCAAGGAACCTGAGGGTGGTGATGTGACTGAAGATATATCCCACTCTAATCCTGCCTCATCTGCACAACAGACAGTTCACCCCAAAATGGGACTGTAACCACAGGCATAGAGGCTAGGATTTACAATATATCACAAAATGAAGGACTGTGGCTAGAAGGACCGTATGAAGCAATTCATTTTACTACATTATCTTAAGAACCCAAAGATATTTTTCTGTTTTCGTCTATAAGTATTATTGTTTTACTTGTTCTGTTTATTCTGTGATTCATATTAATTTTAGTAATGATGTGGAATAGGAGATGTAGACCATTCTGGCACTAATTACTGAAAGAATTATCCTTTTTTCATTCAGTTGCAGTGGCACCTTTATCCTAAATCAAGTGACCGTGACTGCATGTATGTGTTGGTCTGTCTAGGGACTAGGGACTCTCTAGTATATTCCATTGAAGTATTTGTTCTTCTGCCAGTACCACACTGTCTTGTTTACTGTAGCTTTATATTAAGTCTAGAAATGTGTTGGTGTGGGGCCTCTAACTCTTTTTTGTTTTTTATAATTCATTTTTTTTTTGTTGAGAATATATACAGTAAAATGTACACCAATTCAGCAGTTTTCACATGTACCTTTTAGTGACATTGATTGCATTTTTTGAGTTGTGCAACATTCTCACCCTGTTCTGAGGTGTTCCTCCCCCATTAACATAAACTCACTGCCTCTTAAGGTGCCTATCTAATCTTTCGAGTTGCTCTTGTCAATTTAATCCCATATAGAGAGCTCTGAAGACTGTAATGCTCAAGTTAGACTTCATTTTTTAACTAGTTAAGCTAATTTATTGTTTGGATTTAAGAAGACTTCTGGGGATATTTTTGCTTTAAAGTTTAAAGGTTATTTCAGCACTAGTTTCAGGCATTTGTCCATCAGCCATGGCTCCAGGAAGTCTGGAGTCAATGAGAAACTGAAATTCTATTCTCTGTTTTCCACCTTTTGATCAAATTTCTTCTGTAGTATCGTTGATCAAAATACTGAGTAATGGTAGCCAAGCACCATCCAGTTCTTTTAGTCTTATGGCAAAGAGTCGTTGTTCAAGGAGGCAGTTAGCCATACATTCCATATCCTTCTCCTATTCCTGACTCTGCTGCTGCTTCTATTGTTCTAGGCAAATAGACACCAATTGGTGTTGTGCCTTGGATCACCGCATATAACCTTTTAAAACCCCAGGCACTATACAACAGAATAGGAGGTAGAACAGATCACTAAACACATTATTAGGCCAATTAACTGAGGTGTTCTATGAAATCATGCCCCTAAATGTCCAAACCAAGGAACCAAATTCCATCAGGCATTTGGTTGTACATAAATAGCCTTAGAAGCTTCTCTTTCTTTCTTTCTTTTTTTTTTTTTTAACCTCTTTACCATTGCTGTAAATGTATCTGTCACACAACTTTTGGCTGTTAACCATTTTACGGGTATACACCTTATTGGCAGCAACTATAATAATGGACTGTGCTATACCCTTCCCTTAATCAATGCAGTATTTCCATCACCATTAGCCCTCCTTTCCCCTCTTGTTCCTGGTAACCACTAATAACCTTCATTCTCCATACATTTGCTTTTTCTTGTCTTTATGTAAGTGAGATCATACAGTATTTGTCTTTTGTGATTGACTTCTTTCACTCAGCTTAATGTCTTCCAGCTTCATATACATTGTAGCATATATCAAGCCTTCATTTTTTTCCTACTAGCTGAGTAGTATTGTATTGTATATATGTACCACATTTTGTTTATCCATTCATCTGTTGATGGATATTTAGGTTGTTTCTGCCTTTTGACTACAGTGAATAGTCCTGAAATGAACACTGATACACAAGTGTCTGTGTGAGTCTCTGCTCTCAAGTCTTTTGGGTATGTACTTGGGGTGGTTACATTTGTCTGTCAGCTTGGCTAGGCCTGGTTGAGTGGCTGGGTAGCTGAATGTAATTATTCCCCATGGTAAGATTGGTCATTAACTCCTTGGTGGAATCTATTGGAGCAGTTGAGTAGCTGCTTTGGGTATGTGGTCTGCTTCCCATATAGAAGAAACAGCTTTAGGAATGGTCTCCAGCTTATGGCATGCTTGAACCCTGCATGTCACCATGTCATTGCTCAGCAGCCTGCAATGATCTGCCGACCTTGGGACTTTCAATGGACTTGAATGAATGGCCTGCCATGTGTTTTAGTAACATTGAGACTGTGCCATTTTATTTGTTGACCTTGGGCTTGTCAGCCTCAGCAGCCAGTAGCTGCATGAGTGAAGAGATGCCTCTACTTTCAGTGGGCCAGGAACAAGAAGCAGAGCTGAAGCCCAAGGTCAAGGGGCTTTCACATAGCCCCTAGAGCCTGGCACTTTGAACTTGGACTTAAAGCCTCCAAATTCTAAGAATAAACTCCTGTTTGTTAAGGCCATCTCATTTGTGGTCTATTCTTGTCAGAGCAGCACTAGGTAACCAGAGCAATACTTAAGAGTAGAATTGCTGAGTCATATGATGGGAAGTAAGAATTTAGGAAAATTAAAAGTTGTCAAAAATTAAATGGAACACATAAAGATTGATATCCTATCAATGAATTAGACTGGTATTGGCCATTTTGAATCAAACATTCATACTGTCTCTGATGCCAGGAATGGCAAATTGAAGAGGAATGGCATCACATTCATCATCAAAAAGAATGTTTCAAAATCTATTCTGAAGTACAGTGCTGTCAGTGATAGGCTGTGTGCAGTGTCTCAGTCTTAGTCTCAGGCAGGGTATCCTTTTTGGACAGAGTCAGATTCTAGAGAGGAGTTTCTTGTCTGGTCTTTTTTCAGAGCATGAGCCAAAATCCAGCCAAAATATATGTGAATATTTAACTTTGGCTTTGCATGATACTAGAATAGGTGATGTCATGTTTAACAAAGACTAGAGTGTCACCTTTTTTTCCTTCAAAGTGGAAGATTAGGGAGTTGTTTACGACTTATCTACTGTCTCAAGTCTACCTTGTTGTTAGGTACCGTCAAGTTTGTTTTGATTCATAACAGCCATATGGATGAAGAACAAAACACTGCCTGGTCCTGTGTCATCCTCACAGTCGTTGTTGTGTTTGAAGCCATTATTGAAGTCACCATGTCAATCCTTACAGATACATAATTTTGTGTCATAATTCTTTAATTGTACCATGTACGTGCTAACCCAGTTCAGGGAGGTTTCTATCATATCATGTATTTTATAAGC